AAACCGAAGCTCACAAGATATTAAATAATTACGAGTTCGTGTCCCAGTCCCTTTTAACTCTAGCATTAATTCTCCGCCCTCTCTCCATGTCCGTGGAAATCCGCGTATAGCCTAAAAGGCTATTTCAACAAGTGGACAAAAAAAGAAAGAAAAGAAGAAGGATGTACAGGGGTCACTGTCGACTCAATAAACACATCTTTAATCTAGAATTTACTGAGGTACCGGTTTGTAGGTTTTGCAATATTTTCCCCACTGTGCCTTACTATGACCATGTTGTTGTTGCGCCGTCAAATTTTTTGAGAGGGGAACCTTTTGGCGGTTTTTTTTTTAATTTTTGAGGGGGCTAAATTTCGGCGAGATTATGAATTTTCGGACTAATGGACAAGAGTAACACATGGAACTGACCGCAGCGAGTGTATTTATATATGATCAATCATTTTTCTAATTCTACCTTAGCTTGCTCTGTTTTTAAGAAAGTTAAGGAATAAAATATCTTGGGAGGAAGGGGGGTAGGTTCTTGCTCCATCAACCTTGTGGGAGACAGGCACTCCTGACTGACTTTCTTGTTAGTTCAAGCATAATATGAATCAAACCGAAGTTGTTAAGTTATGTTTAATTTATCAACAATATTTTACGTATATAATATTTACATTTTAGATAAAAAGATATTGTTACCATTTAAAAGAATCCTTTTTTGTTATTGCTGAGCACTTTGACCGCAGTGGTCGCCATCTCTTCTAATGAAGGTATTCCTTTTACAGTATCGTTGATTTCGTAAGCGAATGGAAAGTGGTCGTTTCGAAATATTCCTTTGAAAAAAAAGGAAAATTATTCATAATATTTCTCAACTTCTTCTTCGGTGAACTATTTTCAAGTTTATTCATTAACAACCAATTTTACACCAATTTTTAAAAAATTTTCAACTTAAAGACATCACATCTAATTACGACGTTTCGGCTCGTTGAGCCATTTTTAAGTCTAAAAAATGTTTTACAATTTACAATCATATGCAAAACATTACATATTTCAACATATAGAGATTCTTTTTATGTACCTGAATACCCATCATGTACCTGTCCTTTTCACTTATGCGAATTGCATGCGTCTACTCATAATATTTTTTTTTATTTTCGTCATGTCCACCTTTAATTATTTTATAACATTATTACTACTCAATTATTTCTTATTAAATGATTTAATTAAGTTAAATCACCTTATCATGTGTCACCGACGTGTCATCAGTCTCGTTTCTATTCAGTGACTGGTTATTCTTATAGGAGTAGGGGAAGACTATTTAATATAAACATCTACAATGATGTTTCTCAATATTATATGCGGTCCTATTTTAAGTAAAAATTAGCTTATTTATTTCAATTTTTAATTTTTTCAATTGAACTCGCGTAAAATGTATTCATATTATCCACGTCTGTATTTACCGAGTTTTTTTTTAATTTTTAGTTATATATATTGCTTCCTTTATTCTACGTTTACGTTGAGCCATTTTCAAGTCTAAAACAGCACAAACAAAATTGTAATTCAAAAAACACTAAAATTAAATTAGCTACTGGACTCTCTCAACATACTATGCAAACAAAACATGAATTTGATTTCAAAAACGCCAAAATCCTGCATAATGAAAGTAATACGAATAAACGTAGAATAAAGGAAGCAATATATATAACTAAAAATAAAAAAAAACTCGGTAAATAATCATACAGACGTGGATAATATGAATACATTTTACGCGAGTTCAATTGAAAAAATAAAAATTTGAAATGAATTAGCTAATTTTTACTTAAAATAGGTCCGCATATAATATTTGGAAACATCATTGTATATGTTTTAAAATAAATAGTCTTCCCTACTCCTTTAAGAATAACCAGTCAATGAATAGAAATGAGATGGATGACATGTCGGTGACACATGATAAGGTAATTTTAACTTAATTGAATCATTTAATAAGAAATAATTGAGTAGTAATAATGTTATAAAATAATTAAAGGTGGACATGACAAAAATTATGAGTGGACGCATGCAATTCGCATAAGTGAAAAGGATAGGTACATGATGGGTATTTAGGTATATAAAAAGAATATGATTGTAAATTGTATATTTTTTTAGACTTGAAAGTGGCTCAACTAGCCGAAACGTCGTAATTAGATGTGATGTCTTTAAGTTGACAACATTTAAAAATTGGCTGATAATAAATTAACTTAAAAAGAAAAATTATTTTAATTAATATAATGTTATTTTAATAAAATAAGTTTATATATCACAGAAGACTTCACTCATCTAGGTAGACTTGTGAGTAGTAATATATAAAAAAACGGTCTTTGAATTGCATCCAAACAAATATGATGGAAACTGCTAATTATGCAAATAATATATAATTGTCTTATTTTGAACAGTTTGATAGTTGCTTAAATAAAATAATCAAAATGATGATTATCTTCCTTTTAAAACAAACATGTTATTTTGAAAAACCGTTTCTTTAACCATTAAATATAAATAACTATATCATAACTCCTCTTTCATTAGTTTTAAATTACACTCTTTGACAGCAGACTAGTGCAAATTTTGCTATCAGTATCTCATTTGCTCATCCCATCTTTAGTCAACAAATCAACGTAACGAACTTCACAACTTTAACAGTTTCTTGTTTTACTAAATAAAATAATTAACATAACAAAAGTTATTTTAATGACTCACCTAGGAGATAATCAGTCTTTGTTGTATCTAAATCTAACAGTTCTTGCTTGTTCTTGGGCATCGCGTATCTTACTCCCATCATTTCTTTTTGCCGGCCCCATTCTGCCATGAGATTCCTGTTATCAGCTCTTGTGCATGTCCATCCGTCTGCAATGGGGTCCTCTTCAGTCGCAGGGGAATCGGTCACCAGCTGTTGCCTTCCACCGCCCATTATCACCTAAAATGTTTTTAATATGCTTTTATTGATACAGCCGTGGTCATAGAAACCGCATCGCTTATTTATTTTGATTCTTATGTTGATTCCATTGAATGTTTTTGTTTTTCTTTACTTATTAAGGTTACAATAAAACATTAACAATATTACTCCATTTTAACTAGTGAAAGGATATTCACTGTAATTATGACCTGTATCAAACTACCATTGAGTGACAGAAAGAAACTGAGAGGAGAAAAAAACAAACGATCGATTTGACCGCTTAATGGTGAGATTGTTTTTAGAATATAATTTCAAAACTGGCAAAGAAACACCCGGAGATCTTGCAGATAGCAATCTGGTAAATAAAATGAGTAGTCCATAGTACAGACCCCTTTCTATCGAATTATTAACATCCGCCTGAAGCATCGTAAATAGTTTCATCTCATCGTAACCTACAAATATTTTATTTACGAAAACTCTTGGAATTGGGGCGTTTTCAATCTGGAGGGAGGCAAACTTTGTCTATTTAATTAGGTACTAAAAACTCGTAAATACCCTTTTGCTTTCCACTTGGATCATAAGATAATTTGAGTACAAAATCGAGAAAAAAAAGTGGCCTACAAATATATTGGCTATTTGTCCTATATAACCTCGTTATTTTGAAATTTTTGGAGCGTAGGTCACGCCAAACGGCTCAATATTTTTGAAGGCCACGTTTTTTTATTGATTTTATGATCGATGATGATTTATAACGTTTGCCCCTCTCCAGATTGAAAACGCCCCAATTCCAAGAGTTTTCGTAAAAAAAATAGTTGTAGTATATGATGAGATGAAACTATTTACGAAGTTTCAGGGGGATGTTAATAATTCGATAAAAAGGGGCCTGTACCACGGACTAGAAATTTAATAAAACTTATACTGGGCAATGTACTTTCTATGACCGCAACTGTGTATCTTATTCAGAAAATGTGGGGTATCAAAAATGAACTAATATCATATATCCAAATGGACTAAATATTAAATGAACTTCAAATGGCTTCGGGACCTCCTATTTAGAATTTTTTTTAGAATGCTACAAATGGTTAATTTCTCTATAATTCTTTTCATGTTCATGTTAATACAGTTTTAAATTTCATGAATAAAAAAAAAATTTAAGAAACATAGATTTTTTTTTTAACCTACATTGAAATTCTTTCCTGATTTTTGAAGGTCACTTTTTTTTATCAATTTTATGATCAAATTATCTTACGATCCAAATAGAAAGCAAATATTTATTTACGAGTTTTCAGTACCTAATTAAATAGACAAAGTTTGCCCCTCTGCAGATTAAAAACGCCCCACTTTCAAGAGTTTTCGTAAATAAAATCGTTGTAGGTTACGACGAGATGAAACTATTTACGAAGTTTCAGGCGAACATTAATAATGCGATAAAAAAGGGTCTGCATTCTTACTTATAACTGTATATCTTATCCAGAGAGTGTTGGGTATCAAAAATAAATTAATATCATACATCCAAATGGCTAATTTGAGACCTCCTAATTTAGAACTTTTTTTTGGAATGCTACAAATGCGTAGTTTCTCTATAAGTCTTTTATGTCAATATATTTGATTGTTCAAATTTACTGGTTGTATTTTTACTTTTATTAATAAAGTTAAATTCCATGAATAAAAAAAAAATTAAGAAACATAGATTTTTTTTTAACCTACATTGAAATTCTTTCCTGATTTTTGAAGGTCACTTTTTTTATCGATTTTATGATCAAATTATCTTACGATCCAAATACAAAACAAATATTTATTTACGAGTTTTTAGTGCCTAATTAAATAGACAAAGTTTGCCCGTCTGCAGATTAAAAATGCCCCAATTTCAAGAGTTTTCGTAAATAAAGTAGTTGTAGGTTACGATGAGATGAAACTATTTACTAAGTTTCAGACGAACATTAATAATGCGATAAAAAAGGGTCTGCATTCTTACTTATAACTGTATATCTTATTCAGAGAATGTTGGGTATCAAAAATAAATTAATATCATACATCCAAATGGAACTTCAAATGGCTAATTTCATGAATAAAAAAAAAAAGAAACAGATTTTTTTTAACCTACATTGAAATTCTTTCCTGGTTCATCTTCTACGAGTTGACGTGCAATATCTTTACACTGCTGAGCGTAGTATGGCATCTTAGTATCGCATTCCCAATCCCTGTTGGCTGTGTGGGCGTACATCGCAGCTGGCGTAGCATGGGTGATACGAGCCGTAGTCACGATACCTAGAAAAATTATACATTGAGCAATTTTATATTGTTTTATGTTGGCAAGAAAATGTAGATTATCCATCAAATGTTCTGAATATTGTTTGTTAGAAGATTAACTCTGGCCGTTGTTCCATATATACAGGATATCTGAGTTCTTAATGGCCTAGAGAGTGATTATTGAAAAAATTTCCAATAAAAAAATTAATTTGATACATGACCGACTCCCAACGGAAAATGTGTTAACACTAATTTTTAATCTTCCTTAAGGTGGTCACGTTTTTTTTTTGAATAAGAAAGAATTGCTCAAAAAATATTCAAGATAATTAAATTCTAAGTACACCATCCTATTGTAGACAAAATATTCTTTCAGAAATCTGTGAATAAATTTACTAAGGTCAATGATGAAAGGGACTCTTAGGAGTTCTAATACGAACGCTGTACTAATGCATATGAATCAGGAATACAGACATATACAACTACAACGGTACAGCACATTACAAGACCAAGACAGCCTAACTGTTGCAAGACCAAAACCAAGCCTGGAATAAAAAATAGATTTAAAAACATATATAAAATTAAGGCCAAATAGTTACTAATACTTGACAATTTTAGTTACTATGTGTAAATAATTGGTATAACCAATATACTTTTCCATTTAACTCTTCTAATTTTTCATTCGGGCTTGATTGTGTTTCTCCTGTCTACAAAATTTCTATCACTATGTAAAGAAATAAAAACCTTTTCTGTATAGGTAGGAAAGTCGTGTGAGTGAGAGAGACACACCAGATTTTTTTTTATTGACTAGGGAGAGCAACCTCCAAACTATTCATAATAAGCTAATAGGTAAATGCAAGACTGTTGCGAGACTCTTGCGCAAGACCAAGACTTGTCTCGATCTCGCATTTGGGCATACTACTCCAGAGCTACAACAAAAGTTTTTTTTATAGATAACGATAACAAAAATAAAATTTAATTTAGGTAGTTAACAATTGATTTATGGCAAACTAGAGATAAAATTTTCTTCAAACGGGAGTAGAGTTGGTAATTGTTGAATTTAAAAATAAATAAAAAAGTTTTTTAATTTAGTACCTATACTAGGCAAGGAAGCGAAGACATTGAAGCTATAAAACTAAATACGACAACGTTAATGAAAGCCGGTAAAAAACTAGGACTCGAAATAAACGTGGATAAAACAAAATATATGGTTAGCTGCAAAAATGGCGATACTACTGGTGACATCGATATAGATGGTAATATGTTTGAACAGTTATATAAATTTAGATATCTAGGTTCTACGATAACTAGAAAAAACGAAATTGAAGAAGAGATTAAGGTTAGACTGAAGGCGGGGAATGCTTGTTATTTTTCTGTGACAAAACTACTTAGTTCGCGCCTCTTGTCCCGAAACTTAAAAATTAGAATCTATAAAACAATCTTGCCTACAGTTCTTTATGGATGCGAAACTTGGCCGCTTACATTAAGGGATGAGCAGCGTCCTAAGGTTTTTGAAAATAATGTATTGCGTAGAATATTCGGACCGAAGAAGGATGAGTTAACCGGAGAGTTCAGACGGTTACACAACGCCGAATTGCGTGAGCTGTATCCGGGTAATATAATTGAGGTAATTTCATCGCGGCGAATCAAATGGGCTTGTAAAGTTGTTGGGCTTAGTAACGAGAGAATTCCTAAAAGGTTAATATTTGCTGTGCCGAATGGTAAGCGTCCGAGGGGTAGACCGAAGCGAAGGTGGGAAGATTGCATTAAAGCCGATCTGAAGGGACTGGGTTTGGACGGCGAACGGTGGAGGGAGGTGTGTAACAAGCGATTGGTGGTGTCGGCATCGAACCTTCGGGTTCGCTAAACCTTATTATTATTATTACTAGGCAAGGAAAGTATTGCGATCGTGTCAAATTTCCGATATGCGGTTTTCGAAGGATCTATACGTTTCAGAGCCCGAAAAACACATTTTTAGCTTAGAAAGGTAATGAAATTCCCTACAAAACTATTTAAAAATCGTTCATTTCTAACAACTGTTAACGAAGTTACAGCTATTCAATTTCCAATGAAAGATTACGGGTTCACATTCTGGTGTCAGAAAGGGGTGAATGAGAGAAAAAAGATAACTAAGTGAAAGTAAGAAAATCTGGTGCCCGCATCACCCAAGCTTCACTATTTCCCTTACTTTTAACAGAAATTATTGTTTGACAAAATTAGGTTATGCCAAAAAGTTTTTGATCTGCAATATTAGAGGGTTTTGAAATGTTTACACTGATCTACCTTAAGCCGGTTTACATTGCTTTAGTTTATCAAATAAATCGTACTCAAATCTTTTCTTTGATCAATTTACAGAATTAATTTGTTTTTTTTTTTTTTGTATCTTTATGGACTTATGTAAAGATATAAAAACTTTTCTGAAATAGGTAGGAAAGTCGTGTGAGTGGACACACCAGATTTTTTTTTATTGACTAGAGGGAACAACCTCTATTTACAACTGTTTATTTAATTATACTTCTCGTTGCTCAAATTTTATAAGTTTAATTTACATCTATTCTTTTGTAGCGTGGCTGTCATTATATTTTTTTTTTATATATCGTTGTTTCAATATTTGTATACGAAAATTTTTTCGAGTTTAATATTTCGAAAATTAACTTACATCAATATTTGTTTGCGGAAACAGTCCTTATAGATTAGATTAGGTGTTTATTTGGTTTAGGGATTTCCCGTTACAAATACAGCTGGCCTTGGCCTTTCAATATTAAAATACAACGTAAATGTCAGTGTAAAATTGTTGTAAAAATCAAAGAATAATTTTAAAAAATAAACAAATGAAAACAATAACGAGATAAATATTAATGTATTATTCTTTTGAAAAGCTCTTCGAACATAGCTAAAAACGCTTTTAATAAAATTAAAATATTTAGAATCTTCTAACCTCTGAAGTTCTTCGAATTCTGATTTTGATTTTTTTGTACTGATGAAATATTTTTAAGCAAACCAAAATTGCCCTTTTAAAAAATTCTCATAATCGTATGCTTTAATGTATTTATTTAGATTTTTTTTATAATTGAGATCTTTATTGATTAAAAACTGAAATTTGTTGTTACAAATTTAATTTCTATACTTTACTATATTACAAAGTGTAAATGCTTCCGCCAAGTTTACTGCCTCTTTCAGTAAGATGCGTGGATATCGTGGAAGTATAAAATATTGGTTTGGCAGATAAGTCCTTTCGGTTTTTTAGGGTGAAATAAAACTGAATTTATTATAGACATAACATTTATTTTAATGCACAATATACTGACCAATATTTAATATGACTTTTCCCATCTTTCCACTAACTACATAATGCCATGTTCATAAAATGTCTGGAGTTGATTATTAAATAACCGATCCAAGTGGTTTTCATGTCATTTTCCATTTGGAATTTCTTTCCATTCATGGAGTTCTGCAGAGACCGGAATAAGTGGTAGTCACTTGGAGTTAGTTATGGTGAATAGGGAGGGTGGAGCAAAAGGTCCCATCCAGGACTCAATAGTTTATTGCGAGTGACCTATGAGATGTGGGACCTAGTGGTCTTGGTGGAACACAACATTCTTCCGACTTGCCAGTTCTGGAGGTTTATTTTTAATTGTTTAAACCAATTTTGTTAATTGTAAGCAGTATAGAGTTGAATCAATTGTTTTTCCTGATTTCAATAGCTCATAGAAAATAACACGCTTGAAATCCCACCATATGGAAAGAATTATCTTCTTTGGATAAAATCCGTGTTTTGACATTCTTTTAGGAGCCTTATTACTAGGTCCCCAAGATTTTCTACCGACTACATTATCGTAAAATATCCATTTGCCAAGCTGACTTCGGTTTGAGAGTGAGGGGTCCAAACATTAAGCCTGAAAACGTAGCCGAGCTTGTGCAAATGGTTTTCTACGCTTGTGTGCGACACATTTAGGGCCATAACAATCTCTCGCACTGATTGGATGGGATTTTGATCAACAAGATGCCTCAACATTGCTCGTTTTAATTTCATGTGAGCGATCAGACCGTCGAGCATCATTGACAGTTTATAGTAGTAATTTTTGCTAAAAACACGGGTACTTTTAGGTGATTGAAAATCACATTATTTCTTTACACGACTTGGGATGAATCCCAAATTTTTCCTAATTAAACTCAACTTAATTAATATGGAATTAAAGTTTATTAAACAAATAATTTCTGATTTTTTGTTTAACGCAACTTAGCTATGTTTGTCCGCTCAATAGTCCTTTTTAAATAGTTTTAACAATGACGAACTCTTCTTTCATTTAAAATACATTTTATCTAATTTACTACGAAGAAATTGTGAATTACTTAAATTGAATATTTTTGTAGTTGGTGCTTTCTATTAAACAAGAAACGTAACTCATTTAAAAAAAATCACTAATCTTGGATTCTCTACTTTTCATCTAGTAATCGAGCAATTGTTTGTATAAACTTTTTTGTAGATCTCGATGTCTACTATCAGCTTATTAAATACTTTCTTATACTTACGGAATAATCTATATATTATATACAATATAAAACTAAAAATAAAAATATTAAATTCTGCTCCTCTTACCAGTTGCTTTTCCAGCATCTTGAGCTAGCTTCGCGATCGTGGTCACTCGATTCTTTTCCAGAACACTTGCGTCGCAGTCATACCTCTTCACATCCGAACTTAAACCTAAGGTTCCAAGATTTGTTTTGACGCCAGCGAACAACGCGGTCCCCGAACATCCGGAGTCAGGTACCATTTTATCGTTAGAGTAAGTCTGGATATGTTATAATACTCTATAAGAATAACTAAATCAAGAGTGTATATGAAGATTTTGTTATAATATTATTATTTATACCTTTAACGCCCCAACATGGTCGAACCTCTCCCAGGATAGATACCCATGTTCGGATTCCTTGTAGATCCTGGCCGCCGTGGCGGTGTTCGGTCCCATGCCGTCGCCGATGAAGAGGATCACATTTTTAGCTATTTTTTTGTTGGGTTTGATGTTGAGGCTCTCTTTCAGATCTTCATAAGATGTCTTCTTCCAGTATGATCCATCTGAAATCATGAAAATGTATTCGATAACAATATTTATACACTAGGAGCTAAATACATTCGTGGTCATAGAAATCGCATTAAACATGAGATAAAGCTTTTTACAAAGTTTAGTAAACATTTATATTAAAGTTCTGGTGATGATTCTCACTTTGCTTCCTTACTACCGAAGGTAGAAAAGCATTGTGTTCGGGCATGATGTTAAAAAAAATTTGTGCTCGGAATCGAAAATTTTCACTCGTGTTTTACGTTTCAGACATCAAGGATCAAATTTGGTTCGGTGTCTGTCTGTATTCAAATCGATGTAACGGGCATATCACCTAGTACCGTTTATCCAATTTTCATGAAATTTTCAGGAATTGTGCGGGTTGGTGTCTAGATGGTCCCATATAAATTTTATTAAATTCTAACCAGCACTTTCGCTTACGCAAGCGCAAACGCATTTTTGTAGATATGCCAGTATTTCAGAAATAGCTCGTTCGATTTAGCTGAAAGTTGGTATAAAGGTAGGTATTTGTGAAAAAATAATGTAGGGTCAATTTGATTGAATTCTGTCACATTGCGTTCTCTAATATATACGAAAACGTGTTTTCCTTGTTACGACTATATCTCTAAAACCGCAAGTTCGATTTTGCTCAAATTCGGAGGGAATTTAGGGATTGGTGAATGTAAAATGAAATAGGCATCAATTTTATCAAATTCTATCTAATATTCCAAATAAAAATACTTCAGCTTTCAGTATGTTTTAGTATTTATAAAATATGCCTATAGTTTGAAAACGGGGCATTAGATTTGAACCAAACTTGGAGGAAATTTGGAGAACAGTATAGAAATTATTTAGTATCAATTTCATTGAATTCCATTTAATAATTAAAATTAATATAAGTAATTATTAATAATATAATGGCTGTGAAATGTTGAAGGCACTGATCATAAGGAGTGAGAGTTAGGTTATTAGAATATTGTTGGGTGGTTATAAAATTTTAGGTTTTATTAAAAAAGTTAATTTTTACTGTATTGTTTAGTCGATTCCAAGCGTTACTGGCATGACACATACAAGCCGTTATTTTGTGTAATTTTCAGTCAATTTAAAGTAATTTTTACTCTGAATTTGTAAACAAAGTCTTATTTAATGTTTATTTCCATTGAGGAAAAATCAGCTCGTCGTGGTCTCGATTTTCTCCTTAAATATCAAAATTGTGTCCACTTCACTCATATTTTTTTATTCCAGCTTAAATTAGTTTTGTTCTGATTGGAGAAAAGTATTGGTCTCGTTAGCTTCGAACCAACAAAAAGTTGAATTTTTTTTATGGATTTTTTGTTCCATCAATTTTACGAGTTAAAACATACCTTTTAAGTATATATCACTACTGTTTGTGCAAATGTCGTACGTAAATGTTTTCAATTTTTATTCTATTTTTGAAATTATGTAGTCTGCAATTGACGTAAGTAGTCTAGTACTATGAAAAATTGACAGAGGGCAATAAAATATAAAATTATTTTCAATAAATAATCATAAATCATAAAGAAATAATTAGTTTTTTAGTCTCCTCTAAAACACTCAATTTTTAGATATGTAATTTGCAGTAACAGTTGCGAGATACATATTCAGTACACGCTGGAATTTTTTTATTTTTTTATTACGGATTATCAAATATGAAATCTGCTTATGCGGAACTTTATCGCATTTTAGTATTTGCTAATAAATAAAACTCGTGGATATCAAGCCCCTATATGTTGAGTGATTGCTAAATTTCCGAAAACGGTTTCTTCCAGAGATTTTATTCTCATAAGAAAATTTTTATACCTTTTACCAGGTCCGATTTTCAGTTTTTGGTATATATTTTAATCCTTATGCAAAAACACTTCAATTAGTCAATTCCAGCCGAATATACTTACGTTACACATCGGAAATCTTACGGCTCAATCTAATTCACTCTCCACAAAAAAGAGCGAAACGCGCCTAAAAACGTTTTCACTTAAAAAAAAATTCTACTTACAATAATTATTACGCTTAATCATTAATTAAAAAACATACGCCGAACGGTCAAGTGGAATTCTCGATTTTATCTGCTCAAATTAAGAGCTTTTTATGTTTTTATTTTATCAAGATATTATATCTTCTTTCCACATGCGTAATTCGACCTTTAATTTTTTTTTTTTTTTTTTTAAATGCTGAGGCTTCATTGATTTTTTTGTTCTATTCATAAATAGTTCCGCATATTTTGTTCATTAGTTCCTGTAGGATAATTTTTTTAATGTTGTTATTTAATCCATTGATAATAATTGGAAAAAAATATTTAATTTGTAATTTTTTTTTTTACTTATTTATTGAAAAATATTGCAATCTGCCTCAAAAGATATGTACAATAAATAAAAATAAATTATACAAACAAATAATGTATATTCAATAAATAAGAATGAAATAACCTAAAAATAAATAAATAATCTTTTTTTTTCTTTATTCTGAGAAGTTGTATATTATTCTTTTTTTTTTTGGCAATAATGACTTCCAATTAAACAACAATTGAATTTATTTGTTATTTACTGTAAGGAGCCAAAACATTCAGTCTAGAAACAGCCGAGCTTGTGTAAGTGGTTTTCTACGCTTGTGTTCGACACATTTAGGGTCATAGCAATCTCTCGTGCTGATTGGGTGGGATTTTGATCAACAATGGCCTTAAACATTGCTCGTTTTAATTTCATGTGGACGACCAGACCGTTGAGCATCATTGATCTCAAAAGTTCCTGAATGAAATTTGCTAAACCAATTTTGACAGGTGCATTCGGTTAAGGCATCGTCCCCATAAACACTGAAAATCTTTCTATGATCTTCTGCAGCACGCTCACTAATACAACAAAATATGCCGATAATGAATGATATTTTCTTCCATATTCACAGTGCAATAGCAAACACAATATTAAGCTAATTTCAACAAGAGTTAACAGATATAATTGTTGACATATTACAAACAAGATAAACAATCACCTTAGAGATCAATTCATCAGATAAGAATTATATCATAAAAAGAAAAATACACATTAGAAACCGAAAGGACTTATTTACCAATCCAATAATTAAAAAATCGACTAACTCTTCTACGGTTCGAATTTTTTTTTCATTTACAATTTATTGATAATTCAAACAAAAATAATTTGACAAATGTGAAATATCTATTTATTACATTAAAAAAAAAATGTACAAATCTTAAATGAGCATTGTGATGTAATAGAGATAACGTAATGATTAGGTGAAAATTAAACAGCAGCTGATGATTGACGCAATAATTTCAACAATATTTGCATTAGAATTCTAAGAAAATAAAATGGTTGAGTCAATTATAATCTGGAGGAAAATAATTACACAAAATATCGAAAATCGTGACATTACAACTTGATAGTAATTCTCTGAATTTTATTATTCATTTTTCAACACGAAATAGAGAAAAATAAAATATAAGGCAGAGAAAATGTGTTCAAAATGAGTTATCGTCTGTCTGATTGTACTCAAGAACATACGCGAGCTGAATGATATAGTCTGTAGGACAGACCTCTTTTTATCAAATTATTAACACCCACCTGAAACTTCGTGAATAGCTTCATCTCAACCTAACCTACAATTATTTAATTTACGAAAACTCTTGGAATGGGGGCGTTTTCAATCTGGAAGGGGGGCCAATTTTGTTTATATAATTAGGTACTAAAAACTCGTTTGCTTTCCACTTGGGTGTCAAGCTAATTTGTTTACAAAATCGATAAAAAATGTAGCCTACAAAAATATTGGGTTTTTGTCCTATATAATCTCCTTATTTTGGCAATTTGGGGATGTAAGGTCACATTTTTCTCTATTTTGTGTTCAAATTATCTAGCGATTCAAGTAGAAAGCAAATGGATACTCACGAGTTTTTACCTAATTAAATAGACAAAGTTTGGTTATTAGAGCTATTTCTCGCAGGCAGCGAAATTGGTACTAATCCCGTTTGACCGAGTCCCCTTGGTGGGCACCAAAAAAGAAAAAAAATATATCAAACAGTAAATATTAACTGCTCTGGTGTATTCTTCAACTATATTCAGTGAATAATCAAAGAGATTCCGCTGGAAAATAGGCAAAAACTGAGAGACGAGTTCAGAGTACAACTTAGCATCAGCTGATCCACTGCCTTCTAGTGAATACAAATTAAGGCAACATAGTTACTATTACTCGACAATTATAGTTATTATATGTAAAGAATTGGTATAAACAAAATACTTTTGCATTTAACTCTTTCAATTTTTCATTCGGACTGAGTTAGGTTTCTCCTATCTAAAAAATAACTGTAACATCTCTATTAACTATCTAGTATATACTATCTAGTAATAGGCTAATAGGTAACAGCAAGACTGTTGCGAGATTCTTGCACAAGACCAAGACTCGTCTTGATCTTGAATTTGGGCAACACTAAGCTGTATTAAAAATTTTATTTCATGTATCTCAAAAAAACATATATTGTTAATTTATTAAAAGTCATTAAGTGAAATTTCATAACCTTGAATCATCACGAACTTTCATCAAGTGTTCTTAAACGTTCAACTCCATTAAAAATTTACTTAGTAAATTTTTACAATAAACTGACTAGTGTTGCCCAAACGCGAGACCGAGACGAGTCTTGGTCTTTCGCAAGAGTCTCACAACAGTCTTGCAGTTACTTATTAGCTTATTACTGTTATTTTTTAGGTAGGAGAAACCTAACTAAGCCCGGATGAAAAAAAAAAATTAGACGTGTTAAATGCAAAAATGTATTGGTTATACCCATTATTTACATGTAGTAATTAAGATTGTCAAGTATTAGTTACTACTTTGCCTTAATTTTTATTCTTAGGTATACCTGCATCTAAGATGTTTATTTTCATTACTTTTTTTTTTTTTTAAAGATAATTTTAATTCTATTTTATTCATTTATTTATATTCTATTATTACTATTATTCATATTTTCTTCCTTCACTATGATATTTTATTTTGTTCTTATTTGGCTT